CTAATGGCTTTGGAAAACTCTTTTTTAAGGCCATTTTTACTTATAGGATGAGGCTAAAGGCCTTGTGGTACAATGGAAAAAACCACTGGACTTAAAGAGATGGGTTTTTGTTCTGTCTCTGCCAACAGTTACATGATGTTGCACTATTCACTTGATGATTTGAAGCCTTAGTTTCCTTATCTCTATAATAAAGGGGCTAGATTAGATGACCTAAAAGGCCTATTTAAGTTCCAAAATCTCATGTCCCTATACTCAGTGAGAGGAGAGAAGCTAGCACCTAATCCTTGTTTCCCAGGAACAGATGATAGGGAAAACTTTACCTCCTGCTATGCTTACTGTTTTTGGTGAGACAAACCATCTTCTTATCTGATAGAGGGAGACAAATCATCTTCTTATTTGATAGCTAACCTCATTGGGATAAAGAATACTTGACTACAACTTCAATCTGAGTGTAGCTGGGATTATAGTGGGATGAAGAAAAAAGGAAGAATTCCCTGGTCACCTGATCAGAGGATGTATTTCAAATCCTAAGTAGTTGGACAAGGATTGTTATTAAAACCTGTTTATAGAAACCTTTATGTAGGTCAAGTACTTCAGTTTATTATTTGTACCTTATTATCACTACCTAAAGTAAATCGTTGTGAGGTCCATTGTACATAGATAAAAGCCATCAAGTATAAATGTTGTGTAAGTGTCTAGAGACCAGAACAAGTAGATTGAGATAGCAGTCTGAGAGCAGCTGACAGAAGGACCTGCAGTTATATTTAGGGAGAGCATCTTGACTACAAGCATCATGGGAATCCAGATCAAGTTTAGATGGTGTCTTCATAAGTGTTGGTGCTCATTTAGTCTTTGTTAGTTGATGGCTCACAGATGTCAACATACTTAGACGGTCACTCTTTTTAGGCTCAATCCCACCTATTTACCCTAAGTCTATGGGAATGTACTCCTTTGTATTGCTATATTAGATGTCAAACTTCATGAAAGAAAGGGGAAAAAAAACCCTCAAAAACTAGATGACCTCTTTATGCCCCCTGCTATAGTAGGATTCTTTGATCTACTTAATTTTTTAAAATTATTGTATTTTTAGTTTATGGATTAAAACAAGCATTTCCATAATATAATTTTTTTTAAAAAGATGATTGCACATGAAAATGCAAATCTATTATGTACAATTTGCTATAATCAAAGCCAATATTAATGGATCTCTTCTTGACTTTTAAAAGGAGATCTGTTAAATTTCCCTTGAAAGTGTTATCAGTGAAGAAGAATGACTATTCTTCAGTTTTCTGGGATTAACTGTAGGGGTCAAGAAACACGAGTTCTGGTCTTTGCTCTGTCATTAACTCGATAACCTTGGGTGAGTTACCTAATTTCTCTGGGGCCTCAGTTTCTTCATCTGTAAAATGTGGCTCTTAGATGAGGTGACCTCTAAGGTCCCTGTCATTTCTAACATTCAGTGAGGCTGGTTTTTGTCTTTGTATCTCCAGGGCCTACCTAGCATAGTGTCTTGAATATAATAAGTCAAATTTACTAAGTAATTGTTCAGTTAAGTTCTAAATCTGCTTTTCCATTTCTGTAGCAAAAGTCACCACAGTGATACTGAGCTCCCTGGTCTGGTGGTAAGAGATAGCTATTGACACTTGGAGGGAGATTTCATGTCCTTGAAAACTTAGAGGCAGCATTGTATACTGTGAAAAGTATTCCACAAGGAGGCAGGAAAGACTCCATCTGTCACATGTTAGCTGTCTAACCTAAAGCTAGTTACTTAACCTCTCTGGACTTCAGGTCTTCATTTATAAAATGGGAATACGAACACCTTACCTGCCTCGGATTGGACCAGATGATCTCTCTATCTTGAGGCCTCTTTCATTTCTCAGTTCTAGGAATCGTAGATTCTCCTCACTTAAATTACACTGCCTATGGGCATCGAGATGAGATGAGAGCATCTATCATTTTACTATACATAGTTCATAAAGACCCAGGTGTTTGCTGTTGTCCCTTCCATCTTGTGTCCTACTGTGCCCTTTTCTAGAAACCAAAATATAGCAAGTTATTGGTAGAGAGACTGTGTGGTACAGTGGGAAGAGGATTGGCTCTGAAATTAAAGGACCTTCATTCAAATCCTGATTACTTGGATAACCTTAGACAAGTCAACTCAATTTTCTTAGTCCTCATCTTTAAAGTAAGGGGTTTGTTCTAAATGGTCTTTGAAACAGACCCCCTCTACCTCTAAAGGAGGTATTCTTAGCTTTGTTTTTGTCCTATATCCCTCCAGGAGAATGGTGAATACTATGTAACTCTTCTCAAATAATGTATTTTTTTTAAATGCATAAAAGAAAATATATTAGGTTACAAAGGAAATTAATTATATTGAAATGTAGTTATTAAAATATATATGATATATGTGTAGATATGAGTGTGGATACACACACCCACGCAACACACACACACACACACACACACACATACACACACACATGCCTGTTAAGGATCCCTGCTCTAACAAATACATTAATAAATAGATAGATACAACAAACAAACAAACAAACAAACAAACAAACAAATAAATAGGGGCAGCTAGGTTGCCCAGTGGTTAGAGTTCTGGCCTTGAAGTCAGGAGAATGTGAGTTCAAATTCAGTCTCAGACACATGACACTTACTAGATGTGTGACCCTGGGCAAGTCACTTAACTCCAATTGCCTTACCAAAAAGCAAAAATCAATACATAAAATCAATAAAATCAAATAAAATAAATCAGAAAAGATCCCTACTCTAAAGCCATGATCTTATTGACCAGAACCTGGACCAGACCTTCTCACTTAACCCATTGTGTGACATGTCTACCTCTTCCCACACTTAACCTAAATGTCTTTATCTACAAAAGTCTCAGATTTCATTTTTGAAGAGGATTTAGTTTATTAATTCCTCCTTTTTTTTTGTCAGAAAAGTTGGAGCTTTGTAATAGTGATCCTTAATGAGTAGTTCTGCTAAACAAGAAGCAAGCCTACTTTGAAACCCCAATGTCATGTCTGAGATTTTCTCTAGCATCTGGTACTTGTCCAGCCTAGTCAATAAGCTGACATCCTTAAATTAGAAGACTAAATGTGGAAAGATAAATTTGATCCTGTGCTGAAAAGGGGAACAAGAAATGTCTTTGATAAAGGGCAGTCTCCTGTATGTGTCAGTGAAAAATAATATAATCTATTTGTTCCCATATATACACAAATGAGTATGTACATATATATATATATATGCAATCTGAATGTATATGTGTATATATATGCCTCTTACAATCTGCATATATGTGTGTATGTATAGACAGATAGATAGACAGATACATAATGATTAAGTGTAGGCTTCTTGGGGGCAATATCTAGAACATATATACATTTAAATATATTTCCACTGGTTATCTGACTGCCTCACACTTAATAAGCGAATTGTTCAATATGCATTCACACCTTTAAATATACATGTATTTATAGAGAATTGCTTTGGATCAAGTCCTTCATAATTATATGTTATTTGTGCTTCACGGAAGCTGACTAAGGTAGATCATTGCACAAAGTAGCTAAGGTAGGTCACTGAACATGTTGCTCATTGCACAGATATGAAGATGAGCTCATTTGTGTTGTGTATCCCAGTTCTCAAAATCCAGAAACTGCAAACTGTTGTCTGCGAGTAGAAAACATAACTGAAAAGACCAGTGTGTACCCAACCTAGTCCTTTTTATACCGAGCACACAGGGCTTATCTTTTGGTGTGAGACTATAGCCTCTGTTTAAAGAACTTGTATTAGCATTTTTGCCCCTTGGACTCACTCTTCTTGACACTTTTGCTCAAAGCAAACTGGACATATTCATAACTGATAACTACTGAACAAGTCCAGTGTGCCCTCACAGTGCTTAGCAGCAGAGTGCTTGCACATAGTAGGTGCTCTGTACAGATCTGTTGTTTGGCTTGGCTTTAGAAAACATGTCTAGAAATAATCCCAGAAGACAGCTCAGAAACTAGGCAACAGAGCTAGTGTTTTTATGTGTCCTTAGTTTCCAGTCTCAGTAAGAGGTGTGGTGGTAATGAGCTTGAGTTTGTGTATTTATTTGGTGACTTGGCTCTGCCCACAGAGGCTGGTGTGAGCCTTGTAAATCCATTGGACTTTGAGGAAATTTGTCCCCCTGGCAACAGGCCTCATATCAGTTTGCCTAATGACAGGTTGCATTTTGTCTGAGGTAACTGGAACTTTTATTCAGTGTGATATATTATCCCAAAGGGGGTTGGGTGGCGGTGTCAGGGAGGGGTGTGAGCAGGGGGTTGCCCCTCTGCGGCCAGGATTTTCTTTGGGAAATTGAGAAGTTTCAGTTGCTGTGAAGAATCAGTCAGAATGTTACACATTCAAGGTGCATCTAGGACTGGCGGTTTACTCTGCTACTGGTATAACTTACAGACACTGGGCGTGGTGAATGTGCCTACTAAGTACCTGTTTGTAGAACACAGACACAGCTAAAACACCAGTAATCTGAAACCAGTCGTGTTGGTTTTCTCCTTCCCTGGCTCCGGCAGCTGAAATATGCATTCCAGATGAAACCTGTGGGGAAACGGAAGAAAACATAACTTTTTGGGGGAAAAAAAGTGCAGCTTCAAGGGCAGTAATTTTATCCTTCAAGAAACCTTGAGGACTCTGGACATTTTGCGACTCCTCTGTTTCTCCGTCGTTCTTTGGTTTGGGTTTTGTGAATGCCCCTTCTGGGGTGGAGATATTTTTGCATGCTTTGGCCCGGCCCTCTGATTGTAATCAAAACTGAAAAGATGATATGCGAGCGGTTTTCTGAAGTTTTCTGCTGAATCTCATTTGAAACTCTCTTGGGCTACTCCTCCCAGAGAGCCAGACAGACGCTGTCAGCGCAGGCTGACCGGCCCAGCGTGTTCAGAGAACCTCAACTTTCTCAACAAGGAGGAAGTTGAATATAACCAGGAGCACGGCAGGAATTGGGGCGGAGCTCATCGGTGGAGTTCTCGGCTGAGATTACACAGTCGCCGGCTGACTTTCTCTCCTACAAAAAGCCTTTTGTGCCGGGAATAAATACGGAAGTGGCCGAAGAGAAGCCTCTCTGGGTTGTATGTAGTAAAGGTGCAAAGACTGTCGGCTGTTTGGGGCTGTAAAATTTGACAGACGTTTTAAAGTTGACTGTAGTCACCTCATGACTAAAACAGGAAGAAGGATACAGTGACCTAAGGAGAGACCAAGTTTGTTAACTGTGTCAATTGAGGAGACTGGTTGTCAGCCCTTGTTGGGTTCTTTCTTGTAAGTTCAGAGCAGATGGACAGGATAAACTGAGCTAGCGGGAGGATTGGCAGTCACTTGCATCAGGAACATATCTGAATGTTTTGGAAGACATGGAAGACGGGGACAGTTCTCTGAATGGCAGCGATGGCCCCAGAAATGAGCATCCAACAGAACATGGAATTGAAATAACCCAATCTATCCTGAGTAAGTTTTCCATGAAATCCTTTTTTGGATTTACTTCAAAATTGGAATCCACTAAGCCAGCAGAGGAGGATGCTGTGCTTAAAGCCTTCCGAAATTTGGGATCTGAGCCTCAGCTGCAGCTGGAAAGCAATAACAAGAACCAGGAGGCCAAGGCCCAGTCTCCACCTGTTCTCCTGAACTGTAAAGGTAATGCAGATGTGGAGCCTGAGCCAGAAAAGGAAGGATGCCCTGGGAAAGAACAAGATGAGGGGTTTCTTTTCAGGCAAGAGCTGCATCCATCCTCTGCTCTGAGTCCAAGCAGAGATGATGGTCTTCTTGTTCATGGGACCCTTGTCCATACCACCAGTGATTCAGAATCTGAGGGTGAAAGTCGGGAAGAGAAAAAGGGTAAAAATATTAGCAGTACAATGTCATTATCTGAGCCATCTGTGGACCCAAAAGAAACACCTGCAGAATCTCAAAAAAATGAATCCATGAATGAGGTGGATGAAATGGAGCTCAGTGTAGAAGTTTGCTCAGTGCCTCCGTCTGAGTCAATGAGTGATTTGGAGCAAAAGGAAGATAGCCTGTCCACAGGATCGGGTCCTAGACAAGACCATCCTGGGGAAGAAGATTCTCCCACCATAGCTTGGACAGTAGATAAGAGCTCATTTGTTGGAAACTCTGAAAATGCCTCTTCCAAAAAAGAAGCCTCGGGGGAGAAATCTTTCCAGCTCCCAGTCTTTTTTAGTGGGCTACGTGTGCTGAAGAAAGGGGCCACCACTGAGGGAGGTGAGACGATAACTGAAATTAAACCAAAGGACAGTGACCTGGCTTTGCTTAAACTGACGCAGCCTGTCCAAAAATCTCGGGCCCAACCAGGGACACTCTCTAGGAAGAGTGGGGAGAAAACACCTGACCTGAAAGCCACTCCTACTCTGTTAGAGCAGATCTCTCAGTTGCTAAACATTGATATACCCAAAACTGAACAAAAAGGAGAAGTACGTGAGCAGTCCAAGGAAGAAGAGATGGGTAGTGATACTGACCAAGAGAGTCAGTGCAAGGCTGATGTCCCATCTCAGAACGAAGAGCTTAAACCTAAGCCCCCAGAGACTGCCCTGGAGGCCTTTAAAGCCTTGTTTATGCGGCCCCCCAAAAAAGGGTCGACAGCTGACACTTCTGAGTTAGAAGCCATAAAGCAGAAGATGAGGCATGAGAAGGAGTCGCTAAAAGCTGTTTTTGAGAGGTCCAAGTCAAGGTCAGGGGACAGCTCATCTGATTCCAGAAGCGTACGTAGAGTTGCATTCCTATTACTTTAGGGCTAAATGGAGGTGGTTGTCCTTTTTCCCCACAGTCTTTTTCTGGGTGACTGTTAGCAGGGGATCTGCAAACAATAGTTGGTAAGAAATTAGGAATGATAATTATTCTTTTAATTTCTATTTGAGTATTATAGTGAACGTTACTCCAAAACAAACAAACAAACAAAAAAGAGTATCATAGGTACAAAAAGCAATCTAACCATGTGCTTTCAGTTCCTGGACATTCAGTCTCAGGTTTATAATTACTATGTCTTTTGGTTATGCTCCTGTAACAACTCAGTCTCTGCTTTGGAAATGGACTGTATCAGGGAAAATGAATAGAATTTCATTTGTTCAACAAGCACTTATTAAAACCTTCTGTGTGCCAAACACTGTGCTAATTTATTGCTTTTAAACCTTTGCAATTAGGAATGACAGGACTGAAAGGGACTGGTCGTTGCGTTTGGGACCCTGAGTAGCAGTGCATAGTGTAGTGGAAAGAACTGTGGATTTAGAATCAGAAGTCATGGGTTGTACTTCCACTTACTATCTCTGGGATTTTGGACAAGTCACATTCTCTTTGGTCTCAGTTTCTTTATCTCTCAAATGAAGGAATTACACCAGACTCTCTTAACTTTTTTTTGGTCCATGCTTATCATTGGCTCCCTGGGTAGTCTATTAAAACCTATAGCCAGAACCCTTTCTTTAAAAAACAAAATCGTTTTAAAATATATGAGATTACAAGGGAACAATTATGTTGAAATACAGTTATCAGAATATTAAAGAGATAAGTTCACTACCCCAGGTTAAGAACCCCTGTTCTAGAGGGTTTCTAAGTTCACTTCTAACCCTGACGTGTGCTTCTCTGATACTCCTGAAAGGGAAGAATGTTGGTAAAAATATAATACTAAGAATCAGGATACCAAAGATTGGTAGGCAGTGCAGTGGATAGAGTACTTGTCCTGGCATGAGAAGGACCTGAGTTCAAATCCTAACTCAGACACTTACTAGCTCTATGACCCTGGGGAAGTCACTGAACTGCTGCCTATCTCAGTTTCCTCATCTGTAAAATGGGGAAAATAATATCACCTATGTCTTAAGATTGTTGTTAGGATCAAATGAGATAAAATCTGTGAAACTATTAGCAGGTGCTTAATAAGTGCTTGTCTTCTAATCTCAGCTTTGTGACTATTAACCTTTTTAGTCACTTTACCTCTAGGAAATAAAGAGGTTGACCCTGTGACCTTCTAAGATCCTTTCTAGCTCTATTATTCTGTGATATGAGCTGGCTTTTCGTTCATTCTCCTCCTCACAAGTACCAGCTGCAAAAATTGAGCATGGCAGAGTGTAGAAAGAGACCCATAGGCTTTCCTTTAGTAAGCATGTTTAAAATTTTTTCCTTTTTTTTTTTTTTAAGGCAACTGGGGTTAAGTGACTTGCCCAGGGTCACACAGCTAGTAAGTGTCAAGCATTTGGTCTGAGGCTGGATTTGAACTCAGGTCCTCCTAACTTCAGGGCCGGCGCTCTATCCACTGCGCCACCTATCTGCCCCAACATGTTTAAAATTTTAAGGAAGACAACACACAAAAATAACCTAATACTAGGGAAGAGACAAAAAGTAAAACAAAACAAAACAAAAAACCCAAAACTGGGATTTGGGAGTCCTGGGATCTGTTTTGAAACTTTAAATGGATAACTCTGGAAAGGCTGAAAGAAATAGTTTCTCCATCTGAATGTTAGGGAATAGTACAGGGCGGGGTAATAATAATTTTAGTTTCTTTAATAAGAATAATGTTAGAATAAATGGGAAATGAAGCAAGTTGATGTAACTGAACAGCATAAGTAAAAGAACCAGATTTGTTCAAGGTATCTAGACTTGAATCCTGGCTTATATGACAAATCACTTAACCTTTCTGTTTCTCAGTTTCCTTATTTGCAAAATGTGAGGGTTGGAATAGACCATCTCTTAAGATTCCTTCTAAATCCTATGATTCCTTTATCATAAAACTAAAACAGTAATGTTACTAGAATTAACAAATATCTCTCCAATAATTTAGTGTCTTATATAACACTAAAATTTTCTGTTGGAATATTTACTCATAACATTTTGACTTACCATTATAAATTTGGAGTTAAGGACATTGAAGGATATGAGTTTGAATTTCTGCTGTATCACTTTACAATCCATGAGTCTTTGGGCATATTGCAATCTTCCTAGGCCTCATTTTCCTCATTTATAAAATTGTGCAGTTGGACTAGATGACCTCTGAGTCCTTCCCAGCTCTAAATCTATAATCTTATGATTTGTATACCTGGGAGAAAATAATTTCATGGAGTAAGTGCCATAAGTATGAAGACACAATACTGTGCCCACTGGGGAAACTGATTGCTTTAGAAAACAATTTTGCTTTAGCTAGAACGATTTTAACTTGAAGGTCATTTTGCTCTTTTTTTTCAAAGGCATATCAAGGAAATAAGAGAATTAGATATTGAGGAGGACCTGGAGAGCCATGGTTTGACCAGTAGTTGCAGGAAAAGACTGTCCTCACACTTTCACAGAACCCCTGAAATTGCTTGAACACCCTACAACCTTTACTATCAGTGTAAGAGTAGTGTCTTTAATTTCAAGTCTAATTAGTGGTTTTTATAACTCTAGGACCAAGTATATATGAAGAGGAAACAGGCAAATTTTCGTAAATATGGATATAGGAACTAGGCTTGTAATTTCATATGTGTATATGTATATTCTCTGTACTATAGGGAATCTCCAGGTGAGAATACTCCCTCTAACCTTGCAGGTTGTCAACTTCTCAACAACATGTTTAGAGCATTGAAATTTCAAGTAACCTGATCAGGGTCACACAGCCAGTATGTGTCAGAGGTGGAACATGAACCCAGATCTTACTGACTTTGAGGCCAGCTCCCTAGCCACTATGCCATGTTGCTTCTATTTCATAGGCATATTTAGTTTTATTATATCTTAAGTGTGTATGTCTGTATGGTGTCTGAATATATAGTATTCCTAGTTTCTGTAATAACTTCAATCCAACAAACATTTATTAAATCACAACTAGATTCAAGGCTTGGTGATAAGTGTTCATAATTCAAAGATGAACAATAGTTGTTACCCTCGAGTAGCTTATACTCTAATGGGAGTAGGGGTAAGTATAAGACATATATACAAATAAGTATGATACAAGGTAGAGGGTGATACAGGCAAAGGAGGCATTCCCAACTACCAAATAAAACATAGCTTTCATTTTTAAACCATTTATTGAACAGATACTTGCTAAACACTTGCTAAAATGCAAGGTCCTTTGATAAGCAAACATTTGGTATACAGAGGAGCATAAAACTGGTAAAAATGAGTCCAGAGGAAGACAACAATGATAGTAATTGGAACTCTCAACTATGTCACTGTAGTGCCCATTAAAGGAATCAGAAATGTTTAACCTGGGAAAGAGGAACCATAGGGGCTAGGGGGGAGGCATATCAATAGCTGCCTCTAACAGTGATCATGTGAAATTTGGGAAAGGCTTACTCTATAAAACTTCAGAGTGAAGAACATTAGAACTAAAGGATGGAAGTTACAAGGAGGTAGATTTTGGATCAATAGGAGGAATAGTTGGTTTTTTCCCTCCTAACCCACTAGATTATCCAAAAATCGAATGGACTACCTCATGAGCCAGTAAATTCATTATTACTGAAGGTATTCAAGTAGCTACAAGATAACCAGTTACTGTGGACATTCTTTTCTTTTTTTTAAATTCATATAAATGAGTTTACTTCTGAGGTCCCTTCATATTTATTCTCTCATTCTCTTTTATGAGAGCTCTAACCAGAATGATAGAAGAACTACGTAGAGGTAACTTTTAAAAATTCTTTTTCTGTAAAAGAAAATTGGAAAGGATTTAGAGCTAGAAGAAACTTTATACCAGAAGTTTTTGATCTGGGTTCGATGAATTTGTGTTCTGAAAAAATTTTTTTTTGATAAGTATGCCATTTATAACCAATTTCCTTTCTATAATCTTACATATTTAAGAGCATTATTCTCAGAAGGGGACTATAGGCTGGATCAGATTGCTAAAAGGGTCATTGAAACAAACAAAAAAATTGCATTTAATTTCACTCCCTTAAGGCTCTGCACAATAAGAAACAGAACTGAGATCTGAACCTGGTTTCTCCTAGCATATATTTAGCTCTCTTAAAATTGACCTTACTTATTAACTCACTGTAACATATTAAATGAGATGATGCTAAGATTTAGACTGCTTTTGTTTTCACCACAACTGATCATTTTAAATCATTGGAATAGAACCACATTGGTAATGAAATACACCCTTCATTGTGTGAATTAAATGAGGTAACGATAGAGATAACTGGCATCATTAAATTTTAGCAGCCACAAGAATGGATTGATACTGGCCACCTTCTATTCAACTTTCTTCCTCACCCCGCCTCCTTGCCCTCTTTTTCTTTAAAACAGGCTGACCAGAGTCCCACTGAGCAGGATGATAGAACTCCTGGACGACTCCAGGCTGTGTGGCCACCTCCAAAGACAAAAGATGAAGAAGAAAAAGTGGGATTGAAGTACACAGAAGCAGGTAAAATGAAAGGGGAGTGATGCCCATGATGCCACAAATCTGTCATGACAACTCAGGATTTTGTTTTGTTTTTAATGCTGTCAATTGGATTTAGTCTTCACTGGAGTTTTGCATTTTATTGTCATATTGTGCCTTTGCTTCTGAGGATTCCCTATTGCAGTGACCCTCCAACAATTTATTGTTAGTAAGTTTGTTCTAGAAGATGGAGAATAAATGCAGTGAAGTGACCGGAGCTCTTTGTGTGTGGAATGCTCTGCTGTTGTGTCCTGGGATTGCCTAGAGTGTATAAATTACAAATTTCTTGGGAAGTTGAGAGTTGGCTCTCATGCAGTAAGTTAGAGGGATCAGGTAGGGTTGCTTTCTTTTGTGGGTGATGAGGAGAGTATGCTTTAGGGCATTGCTTCTTTAGAGCTGTAATCTGATGTGCTCAGCAATGTTTTAAGGCTGGAGGGAAGTTGGGCCAAGTGAATGTACAGATGCTTTATCAGTTGTTCCTTCTCTTTTGTTATGCAATGTATTATTTATTCCAAGGCGAGTTCTAAATCTGCCTGATTTACTGGGAAACTTCCCAGCAGCTTTGCCATGCTCTATGAGAGAAGCAAAATCTGGGTAAATGGACCCTTTGAGTAGAGCTTACAAATGGAGACTTCCAGATAACAGAAATGTAGAAACACAAAATAGCCACATTGTATATGTATATGCATATGTATAATACATGTTTATAATGAAACTTGTTAAGGGTAGGGATGTGAATGGACTCATATCTGAAGATTGTCTATTTGCAGAACATTTCTTTGATTGTAGCTATGATTTTTTTAAATTTATGTACATATCCATAACTTAGCACAAGGTCATCACAGTTTTGGTTCAGGAAACTAAGATCTGGGGAACAGTCATTCTCCCTGAGGCAACAACCATCTTCCCATACCTCATTTTGTGGTCTTATGCCATGGTATGTCTTGTGTGTACAAGGGCTTGACTCGACTTTGGGTTATAAGCTGTCCCCTCCCTATAAGATCTCTTGCTATGGTAGTAGGACTATCTTATGGCCTCACTCACCACACTGAATTGCCCCAGGCAACCGTTTCAGCTAGTTACATTTCTGTTTATATATGTATTTTTTCTTTAATCGTAAGTAGCTATGGTAAGTAGACAGAATTTGGGAAGTTACATAATTTGATGATTTTGCACAATGAGTTGTCTTTCATTAATTTCTAAAAGGGTTGAGGCTTGTCATGTCACTCTTAAAAAACTTAGAGTCAAACAACCCGATAAATTTTGCCTGAGTATTTCTGAATGACTAACATCTTGATAGGACTTTTGAGATTTATTTCACAAACATTTCTTCCTCAGGTTTGATTACTAGAATTAGAAACCCTGTAGCTGTGTCTAAAGCTAATCAGCTATGTTGTGCTACTTGAATCCTTTTATGGCAAATTTGGAAAATGAAATGTAGCTATCTTAGCAATATTATAGCTGTCTTATTTAGCAATACTATTCTTATCACATTGTTTTTCTCTAGATCAGGCATGGTTTGGATGTTTGGAAAACATACTATAATGAGGCTCAGTGAACTGACAGAATTCTGTGAACTGACATTGATGACCTTAGTCTATGACCTTTCTTTACTCAGTTCTCCTGAGGGTAAAACTATTACTTTCTGTTAAAGTACTTAGAACAAGGAGATTAAAGGGAACATATTCCTGTAGTTTGTTTCTTGATTTCTCTCCCTACTACCCAAATCTTCACTAGTCTCCTCTAGTCTCATTTCATATGCCTGAGGAAAATTCTAATTAGATATTCTTGGCTTAGACCATGGTAATAATGTTACCTCTTCTGCCTGAAGCCTAGACTTTGCAGATACTTCCTTTGACTTGAGACCAAGTGACTTGGCCTCTGGTCACTCAACCAGACATTTGTTTGTTGCTTATCACGTGACCTCACCTTACTTCACCCCTTGTTTTCTCTTAGTCTAAGTTTCTCTGAGCGGATGGATGTAAAGTGTCTTTCTACTTTCTACTCATCTGAATTATGGCTTACGCAGGCTTGGTTGGGACTTTTACCCTATGGAAGTAGATCCTGTGGTCCCAAATGGATCTGTGATCTCTTGGATTCTGGTATTCCCTCCAGTGATGCAGATTGAAACCCATCTAGATTTGCAGAATACATTACAAATTATGTGTTAATTATGTGTTAAAGGGCAGCTAGGTGGCACAGTGGATAGAGCACCAGCCCTGAAGTCAGGAGGACCTGAATTCAAATGCGGCCTCAGACCAAACACTTGACACTTACTAGCTGTGTGACCCTGGGCAAGTCACTTAACCCCAATTGCCTAAAAAAAAATTACATGTTAAAATGATATAACTTGACCATCTTTTCCCCAAAATTCTAGTACAGGAGATCCACAGCATTGGTACCAGTGTTAAACTCTTGCTCTTGCCATGTGAACAACTCACCTTCTCTTCTTGTCATACAATTCCTTTATGACCTCCTTTACTCCTAGTCTATAGATTTTCTCATTGGTTCTATGTTAAAGCCTGTTCAGACTATTGCGAGCCTCTCCATTCCTTTGTGTGGTATTTTTCAGTACTTCAGATACAGCCATGTTTCATGTCTCACTGTCTATAGCAGCATTGCTGGTATTGAGCAGATGGGCCTTTACTTTTTTTCATAGGTCATATGATAATCAAACCACCATTTCCTCTCTGAAATGCGTTGAAGCATAGAATACCAGAAGATGGATTTGGAGCCAGAGGATCTGGGTTAGAATCCTAGATCTGTACTACTTTTGTGAATTTGGACAAGTCATCATCAGTGAGCTAATCAATTTCCTTATCTGTTTAAAAAAAAATGAATAGGCCAGACTAAGATCCTTTCAGATAATTGGGCAGAGGCAGTTCACCAGAGGAGGCCTATCAGACTATTATTTGAAAGCCTATTATTTTGTACACTTTTGTTAGACATTGAATAAAATGCAACCCTCACCCTAAAAAATCTTATAACCTACTTTAGGAGATTAAAAAGCTGTTTTGTTATTGTTGTTGTTGTTCCTATAATAGTAGTCTTGAGTAAATTATTCTTTCCTTCTGCTTGTCTTTGAACTCATCCACTATTGAAAGAATATCATTTTAACATGTAATTTTTTTTTTTTAGGCAATTGGGGTTAAGTGACTTGCCCAGGGTCACACAGCTAGTAAGTGTCAAGTGTTTGGTCTGAGGCGACATTTGAACTCAGGTCCTCCTGACTTCAGGGCCGGTGCTCTATCCACTGCGCCACCTAGCTGCCCTTTAACACATAATTTTTAATGTATTCTGCAAATCTAGATATCTGGAACTATGTACTTGGGGTAGGGGTGGAGAAAAACATAGGAAACCTCTCTCTACTCTTGAGTCCAATGAAGTTCTGCAGAGGCATGCCATGCTCTAAATCTTTACTTATTTGTCTGTACTCTGGGCCAGTCCTGGGTAAATCTGAGAACTAGACAGTTACTTTAGAGGCAGCAAGGTGGTATAGCTGATAGAGTGCTAGACCTGAAGTTGGGAAATTCTGAGTTCAAATCCGGCTTTATTAGGTGTGTGATCTTAGGCACATCACTTAACCTCTGTTTGCCTCAGTTTCTTCAACTCTGGAATGGGGAGAATAACAACACTAACCTTCTGGGGTTGTTGTGAAGATCAAATGACATAATATTTGAAAATTCTTGGCATAATGCCTGACACATAGTAGATACTTAATAAATGTTTGCTTCCTTCTTCCTTCTTCTTAGCAGTCATTTTCCTATTTTGAGCAGTCCCTTCCCTGTTGACATCTAGAGGAGGCGACCTGATATCTTAGGCCTGCCCAGCCACAGCTGGCTTCCTAACAGTTTGTTGTTGCCTTAATCTACCATTTTGGAAATCCACTTGCCTAAGTAGCTCTTCATCTTTGGGTTTATACTGAGGGTCAGTGAATGCATGTAAAATGAGAGGGTCTGACTAGATGACCTTTAAGGTCCCTTCTAACTCTTTAAAAAAACACTTTTTTTACAATTACATGACACATTCATTTTTAAAATTTTGAGTTCCAAGTTCTCTCCTTTCCTCCCTCTCAACTCCACTCATTGAGAAGGCAAGCAATTTGATATAGGTTCTACATGGGTCATCTAACAAAACATATATCCATATTAGTCACTTTGTGAGGGAAAAAAACACAAACCAAAAAAAAGTAAAAGAAATTAAAATTTTTTTCTTTTTTATTATTAATTTATATATTTTTAGTTTTCAACATTCACTTCCACAAGATTTTGAGTTCCAAATTTTCTCCCCATCTCGTCCTTCCCCCCACCCCAAGATGGCATGCATTCTGAATACCCCTTCTCCTAGTCTGCCCTCCCTTCTATCTCTCCCCACTTCTCTTATCTCCTTCCCCTTCAATTTTCCTGTGGGCAGGATAGATTTCTATACCCCATTGCCTCTATATCTTATTTCCCAGTTGCATGTGAAAACATTTTTTTAAACATTTGTTTTTAAAACTTTGGGTTCCAAATTTTCTCCCTTCCTCCCTTCCCACTCACTCTCATTGAGAAGACAAGCAGCTCAATACAGTTTATATATGTGTAGTCATGCAAAACACTTCCATAGTAGTTATGTGGTGAAAAACTAAGTATATTTCCCTTAATCCTATCCTGCCCCCCCATTTAATCTATTCTTTCTTTTGACCCTGTCTCTCCTTAGAAGTGTTTGCTTCTGATTACCCCCTCCCCCAATCTTCCCTCCCCTTTATCATCTCCCTGCTCACTTATCCCCTTCCCCCCCCATTTTCCCATAGAGTAAGATAGATTTCCATACCCAATTAAGTGTGTATGTTATTCCCTCCTTAAGCCAAATCCGATGAGAATAAGATTCACTCATTCCCTCTCACCTTCCCCCACTTCCCTTCCACTGTAAAAGCCTTTTCTTGTCTTTTTTATGAGATAATTTACCTCATTCTACCTCTCCCTTTCTCCTTCTCCCAGTATAAT